TGAATAAGCTTTTGAAGGCTCCCAAAGTAATGATGAGTTATCTGTGGAGGGAATATTAATAACTAAGAACTGTTTGAATTCTTCTATAAAATAAGTTATGAAATTTTGATCATAAAAGATGGAGGAGTCGAGGTGCCAACGTTTGTTTTGAGGACACATATTTCCAATTTTACAATTAATAAGGACTGCAGCATGGTCGGAGATCACTATGTTACCAATTGAACTGGACATTATTGATGATAATATACTATTTGGGACAAAGAAGTAGTCAATTCTTGTATAGCACGAATGCACTTTGGAGAAGAATGTAAATTCTTTGTTTACCATATGTTGAGCTCTCCATACATCCACATAATCCAGCTCCTCACATAAAGCAATGAGAGTTTTAGCCTGGCGAAGAAGACCTAAGCTGCCCTGAGGAGATTTGTCCATAATTGGGTTTAGATGGCAGTTAAAGTCTCCTCCAACAAATGAGTTCTTGATATTTACTTTTTGATCAGTTTGTTTTCTGTATTTCCTATTAGATTTTTAATCCATAAGATTAAATTAAACACTACTTGATGCAACACTGCTAAACAAGTTCATGCCATCCTATCAGTTTCCACAGCAATGTTATCACCCAAACTCAAGGATGCCAAAGCTCCAAGTATAAAAGTCAACAGCTGTTAGATGGATTGGATTGGATCCACACAATTCATTACAACTTAGTTTTTACATTGCTAGATAACCACTTGTCTGCCAGCAAACTACACAATTGCAGCCTGGAAGTGCCTTGTGAATTTAAAGAGACAGTACAAAAAAAAGTTTCTCTCAGAAGAACCTCAGATAGGGAAGAAACTTAAACATTTGATTTAACTCAAATGATAAGCATGTACCTTTTGTGAGGCATTTCCCCCCAGGCCCTATAAAACTGCTGTTTAAAAATAACAACTTAGACAAACTACTACAACAGAACTACAGGCCCATCTTGAACTTCCCCTTCAGTACAAATATTTAAATACCCGTTTTACAGCTACCTTCCTAACATGCCTAGCTGCTTCAACAAGCTTCTATGCTCACCACAGTACAGAGACTGCCCTCATGAAGGTGTGTGTTTGCATCTGTATAAATGTAGACAATGGAAGAACCATATTAGTGCTATTATTGAACCCCCATGCAACATTCAACACTGTTGATCCCTCCATTTTATATTAGAATGCTTAGAAACCTGTACCAGCATTCTGGTACAGCACTGGACTTACTTGAAGGACAGGGATTTTTTGGGGTAGGGAAATTTACTTTAGAAAACATACAAATCATATGTGGTGTTCCCCAAGGGATAATCTTAGGGCCCCTTTTATTCATGTATTTGCAAAACTTAGCTTAAGCTAAATCAAGACAAAACCAAAGTAATAGCCTTTGGACAAAAGAAGAGTGTTCATAAATCGGCACACAGCTGTGGGTATTACAGCTGATAAAATAAAACTCATTTTTTATTGTTGTAAAATGCTTCAAAATGTTCACTTTTTGAGTGATAACATTGAAAGAGAAGTGAAATGAAATGACAGATTTCAACAAATTCCTATGACCATGGGTTTATGGGACCAACATTTTTTAAGTCTTATAAAACAATCAAAACAGATAATTAACATTTTAATCCAAATAGCATCATGCTCAAATTGTGGACGTAGTGATGGACTCAGGCCTGAACCTTCAGTACCTCATAAAGACAGTAATAAAGTCGGCCTTCTATCGCCCAGAGAATAAAAGAAATAATGTCTCAGCAGGATCTTGACAAACTATTTAATGTGTTAATCTTTAGTAGATTCTGATCACTACAAGGGTTACTTTACAGGTTGAATCAGCTGTAGCTGACCCAAAATGCTGCTGCCCACTTCCTCGCAAAAACTAAGAAGTGGAGCACGACTCCACAGCGCTGAAGGGCTTACATTGTCTTTCAGAGAATAAAGTAAAAAAAAATAATAATAATATGTTCGTCAATAGATAACAAAATGGATAAGCTGCAAAATACATTGCAGACTTCCCATTAGAACATCCACTGCCCAGACGTCTTAGGTTTTCTGGCTCTGATCTACTCTGTGTACCTACAGTAGAACCAGAACCAAACACAGAAAAGAAGCATTTAATACTTTTGACCACTGATAAGGAATAAACTCCCAGAAAGCTGTACAAGCACTGAAATCCTCATTTGCTTTACATCGAGATTAACAAGGCATTTGTTTAGAGTGGGATTTGATGGAGCTATTATATCTAAATATTTACGTTACGTTAGTTAAAAAAAAAAACGTACATTAAATTTAGTTACATTACCAGCTTAACTGTTATTCTATATTCCTTAAACATTTTATTTAGTTTTAATAACTTTATTTATTAATTATAAAAATGTTCTACGTATAAATATTATCCTCTTATTTTAATGTGTTCATTTTATTCTCTTTAACTATTTGTATTGACTTTATGCCACTGCAATTTTCTTTTTCTGATGTTCATCACTTTGGATTTTCTTGACGCTTAAATATGGCCTGTAGATAAATTTATCTTACCTATTACATAGAAATACATTGTTGTGTCACTTCATTAATATCTTTTGCTATCTTTTATAAGAGTATATTAATTGTAGCTACTATCTACTGTATTTTGGAATGTATTTTATACCTAAATGTTATTAAGGTCACTGATCTTCTTGATCTCGTAGCTAAAAATGAAGAGGAGGCTGTTTATACTGAGGTGGAGGTGAAGAAAGAACCAGCTCAAGGTATGTAAAAAAGGTATTTCAAAGTACTTCAATGTAAAATCTAAAACATAATCCCAAATCAGATGTTTCTAAAAAAATAAAAAATAAATAAACTTTGCTAATGTGATAAGGCTAATTATCCCAAATTATTCCTGTTGTTCACTAAAAAAGTACTACTTTTGCAAATGTCAATACTATCTTCCAAAGTTATTATCATCCCTGGCAGGTGTTATGGAAATTTTAAATAACAAGAATTAAGAAACTTTCCACAACATAAGAGAAGATCAATTTTATCGTGCCAAAATTATTCGAAAGCATACAGCGTCCATACGCACACACATGCCACCCGGACAGTGAATGTGCCCTGAGCAGAAACTAATCAAATCCCTTATAACCATCCAGTGGCTAACAGCAGTGCAGTGATGAAAAACAGAAGCGAAGAGGATCCAATCCAATCCACTTTATTTATATAGCACGATTTCAATAAACACAAGGTTTCCAAAGTGCTACACAAAAAGATGAAATAACTAAAATAAATAAAAGTCAATAAAATAAAATAAAAGCACTGCCCGCACAGGATAAAGATATGCACGTGTATACATAAAATGAAGGAAAAAACAAAGAACTCTTTAGGAGATTCCTTCACCTAGGGACCAGGGTAATAAACCTGACATCATACATATATATTTAAGAAAAGACTTAATAAGTAAGTAAGTAAACTTTATTTGTATAGCACTTTTCACAGACGAAGTCACAAAGTGCTTCACATGATAACATAAAAACAACAAAAGTAAAAACAGATAAAAACTGAAGCTTAATTTTAGACTATTTTCATTTTTTACCTATAAATCAAATCTCATTTGCTTAATTTAAACATCATAACAGGCCTTAGAAACATAGTTTTGAATTTTAATTTCTACCTTTTAGATTAAAATGTTGCTCAGGCGAAGCAAAATGAAAGATTAAAAACTCTTGACAAAAGGCTAAGTTTAATAAAAACCAGAGNTTGTAGGAAAATTCAGCTCCACTAATGGGACCATGTAAAACCCACACTCTGGGCATTGTTGTGCATGTATTTGAAACTTACTGGAGTGAACCCTGCAAACCACTGTTTTGAGCTGAACTTGTATCACTTGAGTACTGGCACTAAACGGAAACAATATTATTCAAAAATACACAGTTTTTCCATTTTCATTGGCAGCTCCATGATTTTTATCAATGCTTTTTTTTTTAATATAGTGACCTTTAGTGTTTTTGAAAATCTCTTCTAAATAAAATTAATTATAATTATTCCTCCAAAATAAATGTTAGAAATTGGAATATTTCCGGCAAGTAATTATAATATTATTTTTAAAGAGGAATAAAAAAGGAACTAAGAAGCAGACAGAGACGAGCAAATACAGGTCAAAATCTATCAAAAGTGATCTGGGGAAAAAAAAAAAGCAGAAGTATGCAAATCAAGAGCTATAAAAACAGAAGTTATGTTAAAAAACTGACAATTTCTTTTGGACACATCACATTTTAGAGGGGAGATTTAAGTCAACAAGTCACATCCAGGTCAACCTTCACCTTCCAGTGATGGCAGAGGACGATATTCACTATGCTTCAGTGGTTATCAAAAGTAACAAACAGCCCAAGTCAGAAGGTAAGTTCATCTTTCTCTACATAAATGTGGAAGATTTTATAAAAATTCAGCTGAGTCTGCACATTTTCTTATGTCCACATTCTGTTTTTTGTTGGTGGTGTCTTCAAAAATTTGTTTAAAGCAAAAAAATAAAACCCTATGACACGGTTGGATTCATGGGAACATTTGTACTTTTAGGAGATTTTCTATTAGGAATATTTAGATCTCTGTAATAAAATGAATCTTGTTCATTTAGGGATTTACATATAACAGTGAGAATTTGAATTGCTTTTCTGGATTTAATAGAAACACACAAAGGGGGTAGCTAAAATATTTCTGGAATTTTTCATCAGGACTCTAGCTGCAGCGTCTGCATAAGCTGAAGGCTTTTGATGCAATTTGTCTTTTAAAATTAAAGAATTACAATAATGTATGATCATTTTTCTTTCACTGCTGCAAAAGATATTTCACATTTTTTTTAAATATTCCAGAGGTTAAAATTCTAAAAATTTATTTAACATGAAATTTAAGACATGCATAGATTAAAAAAAACATCACCAAGGTTTTTATGTTTATTTTCAGAGGCCAGATTAATGACATCAAAATTGAGTGACTGACTAAAAGCAGTTATCTTTTCAAACACTGGTTCAAAGACGACTAACTCTGAAAGCAGAACTTTTAACGCTATTCAGGTAGTTTTGTTTTGATATTGAATCCATCCTATTGTACTTCTCCTTATTCAATACATGTTCATAACTTATAGAATACTGTGATCAGCTATCAAATACAGCAATGAAATCTAATGGGACAAATACATAAAAAGATTGGAAAAAAATCTCTGAATGCACAATTACATCAAAATCAAATGTTTAATCACAAATATGCAATAATAAAAAACTTTTAATTAATTAAAGTTAAATTGTTATTAAACAAATGAAATAAAATCCAGAATAAAACTGACAGCACACCAAAGTAAATACATTTTGACAAAATCATTTCAATAGGAGGAGGCAAGTCCATAACGAACCTTACAGGTAAGCAACAGTAGCCTGAAGTTAACTAAACTAAAATCACCCTGATTTAAAGACCTACTATTCCCCCAGACGAATTTTAAAAAATACCATCAATGTTGGTTGGTGATAAGTATGAACATGTTAGGAGGGGTTTTAGCAGGAGTTGATCAAGATGTTAGAGCAAGCTTTGGACAGGCATACATTGTGCAATATTT